TTCTCCAGCAGTAATTTAATGGCCTATATCATGATTGTTGGACCTGATGAGCCACTCTCATGTTACTATTTAGACGTAATAAAAAAACCTTCTAAAATTAGAATTTAATCATCTAATTTTTGGTCCTATGCACAAGATCCCAACAAGTGAGTCAGAAAACTATTTTTTTTAAATCTCCTACATTTTGTTTCTTTGTTATGAAATAGGGAAAACAAAAAAAAAATGTTTGTTTTACACTAGTTAACTATTTTTAGGGTGTTTCTAATTAAGGATTCTCTTGGTCAATTCATTTCTAGTTTGGAAGAAAAAAAAAGAAAATCTGCCTTGATCCCAGAACTCATCTCCAAATTTGGAGGCCATTATTTATTTGTTTCCAGATATATATGTTCATGGGGAGGGGAGTGAAGGGGCAACATTTTTAGAGGGAACTTCTACCACCAGTAATTAACACAAAACCATTAGCAAGTTCTTACCTTTAAAAGTACCCAGGAGAAGCAGGTTGAAGGAGTGCTCATCTCAAGTAGCAGTCCAATCAGGGGTAGATAGTGTCCAGATTTTATGTTTGTTATCAGCCCAAGAAAGCCACCAAGGGCTAGTAAATGATGAAGTACCAAGAACCCATCAAACGTCTTGAAAACAATATTATTCAGATGAACACCTACATTTTCAAGCAAAAAGAAGCCAGAGGCTATTAAGCAATTAAACCAGCTCCACTTTTGCTGTGAATACACTTTGTCAGCTTGAAAAACTGGATCTACAAGCATGGCCCACAACCCAGCTACGCAACTCTGAACTCCAAACACGCCACGTGTGATAGTCATATTCCAGAAGACCTTCTCCTTTGCTGACAAAACACAATAAGTGGCACTGATCCATGAGGACAGCCAGTGAGCTAGAAGAAATACTCCCAGGTAGATGAAAAAACCAGCTGCTAGTAATGTCAAACGAACTTCCCACAGAACATAGTCCCAGTCAAATATGGCTCTGGACATTGCACCATCATTTGCAAGATTCATTTCTTTCTTCTATACTTCGAAATATCAGGAGGGAGTCTGAAGCGCCTTACTCACACGTTGGTCTGTTTTAAGGCTGCTGAGCCTGTGCCATTACATACAGCAGGTACCCATCTGAAATTTAAAAAAGAAGAAGAAAGGAGACTTGGAAAGAATGGTTCTGTGTGTGCGCGCGCATGTATATAATATAAATAAATAAAACACAGGCACAGCCATTCTTGAAAAAGTCATTTATGAAAGCTCACTAGTTTCACTACAGTAAAGAGTTTGTCCTTCCTGGTCTTTCTTCCCTTCCTGTTACTTCTACATACATAGAATAATTTTTTTTTTTTTTTTTTTAAATCTTCAAGTCTTCTGTTGCCTTTCAAAATCATTCCTCAAGAAGACCTAGTAGCGTTAGCAAAACATCTCAACTGTCAATATTGTCACACTGTTAAAATAATTCGACAGTGTATCTGCCAGTTCCTTACAGGATCCTGTTATATGACCAATGTTTATTACTTCTAACAAGGTTCACAATTCAAGTGCAAAGAGCAACAACTACCATGGGCATATTAACAGACCTTTGAAACAAAGAAGAATGTACTTTTTGTCTGTTATAATGAGAAGCTTTTACAGTCTTTTTCTCTATTAAGTCCTATGTTGTGAAAAATAAATACAACTTTTCAAAGTTGTAAAATTAAAAAAAAAAAAAAAAAGACAGCCCTGCTTCATAGTTCTTTCTTCTGTGAGTTGTTTTAATTATGTATGTAGGATAAGAGGTGTGCATGTTGTTTTGTTTGCAATTTGGAATATCAGACACCAAAAAGAACAAGGCACAATTTGACAACACCTTATGTTAGTAAATGAGACTATTTACATGAGCAAGGGGCTTGCAGATTATCTGGTGAACAGAACTGTACAGTCAATTTCTGAACAGAATTAGACCACTTTCCAAAAGGTCATTTATTCCTGAAGCTAGCTAACAGGATACAACATAGAGAAACAACCTCTCTATTTCAGAGTAACAGCCATGTTAGTCTGTCTTCGCAAAAAGAAAAGGAGTACTTGTGGCACCTTAGAGACTAACCAATTTATTTGAGCATGAGCTGTCGTGAGCTACAGCTCACTTCATCGGATGCACACCGTGGAAACTGCAGAAGACATTATATACACACAGAGACCATGAAACAATACCTCCTCCCACCCCACTGTCCTGCTGGTAATAGCTGTAGCTCACGAAAGCTCATGCTCAAATAAATTGGTTAGTCTCTAAGGTGCCACAAGTACTCCTTTTCTCTTCACAATGTGTATGATAATCAAGGTGGGCCATTTCCTGCACAAATCCAGGTTCTCTCACTCCCTCACCCCCCTCCAAAAACCACACACACAAACTCACTCTCCTGCTGATAATAGCTTATCCAAAGTGACCACTCTCCCTACAATGTGCATGATAATCACAGTAATATCATTATTAACTATATAGTCCAGAATTTTCAAACTTGGGTATAAAGTTACATTAAAACTTCCTCAACATGATGTGGTTTAAAGATGCTGAACTTTTTTGTTTAAAAATATCATAATCACCAGTTCATTTTGCTGATGCATCAGAGTGGAGTCAGCAGTGCACCACCGCTGGACACAGCACATCCTGTCAAATATGGCCATGGGAAGAACTGCCAAAAGAATATCTAATTTAACACAGTTTGGGGGGATGCAGAAGGGGAAGCCATATGGATCGTTAATAACAAATAAAAAGATTCTGTGAAAATGCTCTCCCTCCCTGCTCCCCAATATAATAAATCACAGAAAAGGGGGACAATATCCTCATAGCTACAGAACAAAGGAATGTTGCTTATCATCATTTACCCCAGAGCAATCCCACTGCTTTGCATCTTGGACGAGTGGGAGTTAGTGATCCTCATTTGATACAATATTACACTCTCTCTGCACAGATGTATACAACTATACAACATGAAAGCAAGTAGAGAATCAGGTCCGTTAATGTAAGTGTAAGGGGACTGTTGCCCCCTTACTAACATTCAGTGGTGGTGTTTTGGTTGGCTAGCTCCCAGTACTAAAAGGGGAAGGGTCTATGGGAAACCAGGACCCTGAGACTGACAGTCTCCAGGAACAATGGGGAGAGGCCAATGCTCCAGGTCAGCCTGAATGACAGGGCGAGCAAGCAGGCTAATCAGAGAGTCAGGAGGACAGGGAGGTCCCGTCCGTGTGAGCTGGAATTGCCTGGGTCAGACAGAGTGGGGCCGAGCTAAGGAGAAAGCAGGGGCCCAAGCTGAGCTAGGGAGCAGAGCTGTGCCAGATCCAGAGGGACCAGAAAAGCAGCCCAGAGAGAGCAGACGCTGTCCTGGGAGCAGAGCTACAGCCCCAAAGCTAGAGGCAAAGCCCAGAGAAAGCAGACGTGCCCTGGGAGCAGAGCCGCAGCAACCAGAGCCAGAGGGGCCAGAAAAGCAGCCCATGAAGCAGGTCAGTGCTGGGAGCAGAGTCACAGAAGCAGCCTGCAGAGCAGACCTGTCCTGGGAGCAGAGTTGCAGCAACCAGAGCCAGAGGGACCAGAAAAGCAGCCCAGGGAACTGGACGCAGAGCAGCAGTGCTGAGACAGAGTGGTGGAGCTGGGCCTGGAGCAGTCCGGAGCTGGGTGTAGTGAGCAGCTGGGGAAAGCGAGGGGGACCCTGGGCAGCGGGCCCAGCACAGGGAGACACCTCAGCCAAGAGGCTCTGTAGGCCAGGCTTGGATCGTAACCCCGACAGGGTGGGGGCGACACAGGGAAGAAGGGTCCTACCACTTAGAGCCTGAGAGCATGTGGCCACCACCAGAGCAAGCATCCAACCCACGGCATCCCTGCAGCATAGCCAGGACCTGAGAAGAATGCCTGGGACTTCAGACTGTGAACTGTCCTGACATTCCAGAGACACTGTTTGTGATGTTCCCTGCCAGAGAACAGCTTGATGTGTTTCCTTTAACCTATCCCATTTTTCCTTATTCTTTTTAAAATTAACTGTTGATTAAATAACTTGCATTTGCTTTAACTTGTATATAATGGTCAGTGGGTCAGAGAAGTGCCCAGTGCAGAGAGAGTACCCCAGAGTGGGGACACCCTAGCTCCTGTCCTAGGTGACCACAGCAGGGTTGGGAGTCGAGCCCCCAGGAATCCTGGGCCCAGCCTTGTTGGGGTTAGGAGGACTCTGCCAGACAGGAGAGTGGAAGGGGAGTCCTCAAGGGCAGGGAGGCCACTGGGTAAAGGAAGTGGGAGCGAGGACTCAGATCTTTTCACTAGCCCACTTCACTGGGGCAGTGCAAAAGCCAGGGAAGTTCCCCACAATAGCGGGACTATTCCCCCCGCTTACATAAGCATAGATACATTGGTGTGAAGAGAAAGCCCCAAAAACATTTCCTCTCTAAACTCCCCACAAAAAAACAAAAAACACACTCATCCCACCCCACCTACATTCAGTACTCCCCTGACTTCACGCAATGCCATCATACTTCCAAGATAGAGGCTCTCCTGAGCATTTAACCGAAACCAGCGGTTACCAGCGCTGTCTAATCCCCGTTTCCCCCTAGAAGAGGAAACAATACAACACACAGAAAACATTTGCGAATGAATCAGTTCAGGAGGGGGAAACAACAACAACAACGAGATAACCACGTGCGGGTTCTCCGAGGCCCACCCTGAACATTCAGCAAAGCGAGCGCGATAGTTAATAAACCCCGTCTCCACCCGCCACCTTTTGCTCGCTACTTACTGGCTGGTCTGCTTCAGCAGCACGCAGGCCTCCTGCTGGCTGTGAGCTTTCTCCCCGCGGCCTCTGTGCTTTCCTGTCATGCGCTCAACACACAGCGATCAGCCGACTGCATAACAGTGCAGTCCGGGCGGCGGCGGCTGCTGCTACCTTCGCAGAGGCAGCTGGAAAGGAAGTGCAGCAGCCTTGAGTCCCCGCTGCTGCGAAGGGACGCACCCGCACACGGGATCATGTGCAGCTGCCCCGGTCCCACCCTTTGCGTCTGGCTGACGTAAACCATCGCTCCCGCCCCGGCGGGGGAGGGGAGCGCCAGGGCGGGGTGCTTGGTGCGCTCCCCTCGCCTTGGAGCACAATCCCGCAGCGCGGGGGGGGGTCAGGCCAGGCCACGCTCCGCCAAGTTTCGGGTCGCACTGAGGGAAAGGGCGATCGCGCCCCGCCCAGCACGGAGTCCTGACAAAACACTGCACGGTGGAGTGTGTTGCCATGGGCAGCCGCAGCGGGGACCACTGAGCTGTGGAGACACGTGGGAGCTGGAACCGAGGGACAGACCCCTCCAAGAGCCCGCTGTGGGGCAGGACGTGTGTGTGTGACCCGCACCGAAATCGTGTGTCACACACGTGGGTTGGCTGTCTCGTATGTGCCCGCCCTGTGGTATGTTGTTATACCATGCCGTGTTATTTTATCAGGGCTGCCACGTTTTGTGCAACTTGGTGTGGGGCATTTCTCGGGGAGAACAGTCGAGTGATTTCCCTCGGGGGGGCGGTAGGAGCCAGGGGTGTCCAGGGAAATCGGTGGGGATTAGGGTTGTGGAGGGAATCGGGGAAGGACAAGAAGTAAGATGCTTGGGGTTTGTTGAGTGGGGAAGGGAGGAAGAGAATAAATTAACCGGGGTGGGGAAGAGCCTGGACCAGCTGGTGTCCGGAGACAGGAGGTTGGGAAGCTTTGGGATCCTCACCCCTGCCTAATGCGGGGAATGTTTGGAACAGCCTCCCCCCAGCTTGCATTTCTTCCAGTTATCTAGCCCCCTCCCCAGCTCCTTTCCCTGTCTGCCCATCCCCCAGCTTTTCTTCTCCGGGAGTTCGCGTCTCGCTGTTGCCTGGGGCGCCACCATCTGATGTTTGCTGCTGACAGCGGCTCACACGGGCTGAGCACCAGCGTGGGGAGCGGGGCAAGCCCTGGTTAGTGACGTGTAAGTTTGCTTTGCAGTTCTGCCCTAGCCCAATGCTGCAGCCTTTGGGTTCCTGCTTTTTTTGTGTGTTCGTTTATTTAATTCTCAAGATTTCTACCATATTAGGTTTTATTTATTTATTTAAATGTGGGGTTTAAGCAACCTGGCATTGGCCCTCAAGACAAGGTGTTATACCAATAAAATAAAAACCAGCAGGATCTTATTAAAGAGGAAAAGGCAAAATACCACATTTATTGTGAATACAGAAAGAATCATGGTAAGCAGTTAGTTATAGCTATAACATTCCATTCAATGTCATATTTATTCACACATTCATTCATACAAACACACACATACACAGTTTCTGCAAGGTTGTTATCATAGTTACCAGCCTTAGAGTTGCTCATGCCAAGCCACTGGCCAGGTGGCCTGGACATGAGGAGGGAGCGGGGCCTTTCCAGATGCTCATCTGATGCTCCTGGAAGTTGGTTTGCAGAATCAGACCCCCCCAAAGTTCTCACTTTCTAGAGTCCATTTTTATAGGAATTTCTTCCTATAAAAGCCAGTCTATAGGAATTGCTTCATCATGCTGTTGCTGAATCAATCAGCAGATAGCACATTCCTGACTGCTCCGTGCTGCTAGATGAAAAGGAGTACTTGTGGCAACTTAGAGTCTAACAAATTTATTTGAGCATAAGCTTTCGTGAGCTACAGCTCACTTCATCGGATGCATTCAGTGGAAAATCCGATGAAGTGAGCTATAGCTCACGAAAGCTTATGCTCAAATAAATTGGTTAGTCTCTAAGGTGCCACAAGTACTCCTTTTCTTTTTGCGAATACAGACTAACACGGCTGTTACTCTGAAACCTGTCATTGTGCTGCTAGATGTTATCTTGTTCTTTGGTTCTCCCATTCTTGAGGCTGTTGGGTGGATTTCAGTCTGCCCTCCGGGAGTCCTCTGCTTATTTCCACTTGACGCCTTCTTCAGCCGATGGACACTGGATTCTTAGGCTGGCACCTCCCTGATCATTCAGTTATTATCCACACCAAGCATCCATCCACATACATCCTCTATCTCTATTTTAATCACAATTGTTAACAAAGCAAGATGAATACAACAAAAGGGCGGGGAGTCTCCGGGTGCTGTTTCTATTGTTACAAAGTATTGCTTTGAGTCTCTTTCTGTGTGAGTAGTTGTTCTTACAAAGAATTGCTTTGAGAACAGACTCTGTCTTAAAATGACAGGTTTCAGAGTAACAGCCGTGTTAATCTGTATTCGCAAAAAGAAAAGGAGTACTTGTGGCACCTTAGAGACTAACCAATTTATTTGAGCATGAGCTTTCGTGAGCTACAGCTCACTTCATCGGATGCATACCGTGGAAACTGCAGCAGACTTTATATACACACAGAGAATATGAAACAATACCTCCTCCCACCCCACTGTCCTGCTGGTAATAGCTTATCTAAAGTGATCATCAGGTTGGGCCATTTCCAGCACAAATCCAGGTTTTCTCACCCTCCACCCCCCCACACAAATTCACTCTCCTTGGTCAAACTCACTCACATTGGTCAAACTGGACAGTCTCTACGTAAAAGAATAAATGGACACAAATCAGATGTCAAGAATTATAACATTCATAAACCAGTCGGAGAACACTTCAATCTCTCTGGTCACGCAATCACAGACATGAAGGTCGCTATCTTAAAACAAAAAAACTTCAAATCCAGACTCCAGCAAGAAACTGCTGAATTGGAATTCATTTGCAAATTGGATACTATTAATTTAGGCTTAAATAGAGACTGGGAGTGGCTAAGTCATTATGCAAGGTAGCCTATTTCCTCTTGTTTTTTCCTACCCCCCCCCCCCAGATGTTCTGGTTTAACTTGGATTTAAACTTGGAGAGTGGTCAGTTTGGATGAGCTATTACCCAGCAGGAGAGTGAGTTTGTGTGTGTATGGGGGTGGGGGGGATGTGAGAAAACCTGGATTTGTGCAGGAAATAGCCCAACTTGATTATCATGCACATTGTGTAAAGAGTTGTCACTTTGGATGGGCTATCACCAGCAGGAGAGTGAATTTGTGTGGAGGGGTGGAGGGTGAGAAAACCTGGATTTGTGCTGGAAATGGCCCAACCTGATGATCACTTTAGATAAGCTATTACCAGCAGGACAGTGGGGTGGGAGGAGGTATTGTTTCATATTCTCTGTGTATATATAAAGTCTGCTGCAGTTTCCACGGTATGCATCCGATGAAGTGAGCTGTAGCTCACGAAAGCTCATGCTCAAATAAATTGGTTAGTCTCTAAGGTGCCACAAGTACTCCTTTTCTTTTTGCGAATACAGACTAACACGGCTGTTACTCTGAAACTCTCCTGCTGGTGATAGCCCATCCAAAGTGACAACTCTTTACACAATGTGCATGATAATCAAGTTGGGCCATTTCCTGCACAAATCCAGGTTCTCTCACCCCCCTCCCAAAAACCACACACACAAACTCACTATCCTGCTGGTAATAGCTCATCCAAAGTGACCACTCTCCCTACCTGATGATCACTTTAGATAAGCTATTACCAGCAGGACAGTGGGGTGGGAGGAGGTATTGTTTCATATTCTCTGTGTGTATATAAAGTCTGCTGCAGTTTCCACGGTATGCATCCGATGAAGTGAGCTGTAGCTCACGAAAGCTCATGCTCAAATAAATTGGTGAGTCTCTAAAGTGCCACAAGTACTCCTTTTCTTTTTGTCTTAAAATGTACTAACATAATTAGCAACTTGAAAGTTTCACACATAGACGGAGAGAAACAGTACCAAAAACCAAGAGACCTCTTAATCCAGTAAAACCCCTGGAATTTAAACTATGGGGAATCAAACTCATTTGTGTTTTTAATACAGAACTTCTTTAATATGATCCAACAAAGGCATTTAATTAGGAACACCCTAATACAGCAGTATAAAGTACATTTAATCCCAATAGATTTAGTCATTTAAATATCTGCAACACAGTTGGTATCTCACTGGCATCTATTCTCTTCCTTTCACACTGACTGCAAACTGGCTCCCAGTTCAGCCAATTTTTCTCTGCCCCTGACAGTTCAGCATTTGTCCCTGCACTGTGTGCTCCAGAGCTTTTCCAAGTCTAGGTTGAAATGTCTCAAGAAATGAGGATAACATTCTCGTTTTATTCAGTTAATAGTTACTGAAATAATTCAGCTGGTACACTTTGTAATTTGTAATTCACCTGTTAGTTTCTTCCCAGTACTTACCCTTGTTGGCAAAGCACCTTAAGGATTAATGGATAAAAAGCTCTGTGTAAGACCTAGGTATTAATTATTCTGCAGTACCATAGTAGACAAGAGAAGTACGTTCAAAGAATTACACTGCTGCCTGTTTTTTACCCCCTGCCTATGTTTCTTCCTTTCTTGTGCTTTCTTGCTCTTTGCAAAATTCCTCTCCTAACTCAGAAACACATTAGAGTGACTGGAATTCAGTAGCTTTCATTTATATCAGTGCACATCACATACCTTATTACTATAATAGATTAAAGCAAAATAGTATGGATTTATTATGGCACACCTGTAATTTTTAGTACACCTTTCAGTTAAAAACAATGCAGAAGGTAGACTTGTTCACAATGTATTTACCCTATAATTTGCAAGGTGTGTTTTTAAAGCCTAGCATCCAACAAATACAATTTCTAAATAGTCATGTACAGCTAACATTTCCAGAAATACCTATGAAACAAGGAGTACTAAGACAAGGGAAAACAATTTAAACTTATGGGCCAAATTCATCTCTGGTGTATCTGTACTGGCTTCAATACAATCACACCAGGGAAGGATTTGGCCTAATTTTTGTAAACAGGTTGTATTATTTTTAAAATCTTAATTTCCTAGCTAGAGATTTTGAAAAATTAAGTTAAATATGCATGTTAAATCAAAGATATGGGTCTTTTCTTTCTGAGTTAGTGTTGGTTTGTACTCTACAGCAAATATTAAAATGGCCAGTAACATATTAAAGCACAGTATTTTAAGGATGTTTTGTTACAATCATAAATCTAAATGCTGCAATAGTCACATAAAGTGTTAATGATACATTCACATAGGAAGATAGTCAAAAATTGTAACTTACAGTTCACCCAAGGTTTCTCCCTTATTTTTTATCCTCCTCCTTTACAGAGCCTGCTGCTCAACTTTAACTTCTTTTTGCTGCTTCCCGAGAAGAGCAGAAACAAACAATTAGAGATGTGAAACTATCAAATCAGGTGATCAAAAGTCACATTCTATAGTTATAAAACTCTATCCCTTTTAGTGCAAAAGGCCAAAGCAATATATAGAAATAGAAACAACCTCTGATTTTATAGTTAAAATTAGCTGATTGTAATTAATTGCTTTGTCTCAGTTTCATGTTTTGAGTGTCAACTCTTAATGAGCAACAAAACTGAACTACCACTCCAGTTTTAATCATACAGTAGGGAAGGATGTCAGTGGACAAACTGTGCATAATCTGTTAGTCTTTAAAGTGCCACCGGACTCCTTGTTGTTTTTGTCAGTGCACAAGATGATCTGATGCTTACAACATGGAGATCAAGGGCCTAATTCACCACTGCAATGCGCCTTGGGTGCTCATTTACACTTCATTATGAATTATTATTTGTATTATGGTAGTGCCTATGGACCAATGAAAAATGTGCCCCAGTGTGCTAGGTGCTGTACAAGGAGAATAGTAGACAGTCCTTGGCCTGAAGAACTTAGAATTTAAATAGACAAGAGAGACAAAGGGTGGATGATTGGGATATAGGAACAATAGTCCTGCTCCTGGACTAGGGGTTAAAATCAGCCCAATAGAAGAATTCAGTATCATCTTAAAGTTGTATCAAGGAAACATAGGAAGGTTAGGGAATTGCTTCATTCACTCTCTCCTCTCCCAAAAGCACTGACAAGTCAATTAACAAACACAACTTTAGACCTAATTTCACTATTTTTAATTTTGTTCCAAACCAGTACAAAACATGGTAAGTGAGCAATAAATCCAAGAATTGTGTTTTAAGTTTAGCAAGAATCTAGAGTTCCCACCATCAGCATAATATAAGCAATAGAAATGGATCTGAATTCTTGGAATTGACAGGGCTTTGTCAGGAAAATTAAAGAAGACAGCAACAAGCAGAAACAATTGAGAAAGAGGTAGACAGAAATGAATATTGTTAACATGAACACCCGATCTGACAGTAACAAGAAATAACTAAAAAGAGTAACAGGCCTAAGTTAAAAGAAAAGGAGTACTTGTGGCACCTTAGAGACTAACCAATTTATTTGAGCATAAGCTTTCGTGAACTACAGCTCACTTCATCGGATGCATAAAGTAGAAAGTACAGTGGGAGATTTATGTACACACAGACCATGAAAAAATACACATTATAAGGAGAGTGATCACTTAAGATGAGCTATTACCAGCAGGAGAGTGGGGTGGGGGGAGAGAAAACCTTTTGAAGTGATAATCAAGGTGGGCTATTTCCAGCACATTTCCAGGAGTTAACAAGAACTTCTGAGGAACAGTGGGGGCAAAGGGGGGAGGAATAAACAAGGGGAAATAGTTTTACTTAGTATAATGACTCACGGGCGGGGGGGGGGGGGGAGGAATAAACAAGGGGAAATAGTTTTACTTAGTATAATGACTCACGTTGAGTCATTATACTAAGTAAAACTATTTCCTCTTGTTTATTCCTCCCTCCCCCCACCCGCCCCACCTGTTCCTCAGAAGTTCTTGTTAACTGCTGGAAATGTGCTGGAAATGGCACACCTTGACTATCACTTCAAAAGGTTTTCTCTCCCCCCACCCCACTCTCCTGCTGGTAATAGCTCATCTTAAGTGATCACTCTCCTTACAATGTGTATTTTTTCATGATCTGTGTGTATATAAATCTCCTCACTGTATTTTCTGGACTAACACGACTGCTACTCTAAATACAGACTAACACCACTGCTACTCTGAAACAGGCCTAAGTTAGAAGTTCTAAAGAAAAGTTGCCATGAGCTTGTGATGCTCCCCAGAACTACCCAGATTTCTGAGGCATCTAGTCACTACTTGCCCTTAGTGTGAAACAGTCTTGTCTTTGCCTGCTGTGGTTCTGCTCCCTAAACCCAACAGCCTCTGGACCGCCCTCACCCCCCCAACATTGCCTTCCAGTGTTCGCAGACCTAGCCCTCTCTGTGCAGGCTAGTGCTGAGTACACACCAACCCCCTCAGAGTGCTCCCTGCAGTATCCAGCCCCTGTGTCTAGACCAGAGATCGGTAAGCCCCCTGGCAGGCCGGGCCAGTTTGTTTACCTGCTGTATCCGCAGGTTCGGCCGATCGCAGCTCCCACTGGCTGCAGTTTGCTGTTCCAGGCCAATGGGGGCTGTGAGAAGCTGCAGCCAGCACATCCTATGGCCTGCGCTGCTTCCTGCAGCCCCCATTGGCCCGGAACAGCAAACCAGAGCCAGTGGGAGCTGCGATCAGCTGAACCTGCGGATGCGGCAGGTAAACAAATTGGCCTGGCCCACCCCGCCAGGGGGCTTGCTCTGGCGGGCCGCGTGCTGAAGATTGCCGATCCCTGATATAGACTCTGACAGTTATTACCAGGTAAGCCATTTCCAAAAAGAGAGAGAGTACACATAGCTTGAATGGTACAGCTCAGGATCAGGTCCTTTATAACATTACAGCACTGAAATATATTTACAGCGAAAACCATCTTAAGTTTATTAACAGATTAAGACTTCAGACACACTGAGAAAGGAAAATGAGTGGAAACAGATCTGGTTACACATATAAAACAAAACATAAAATACAATCCTAAGTCGATACTTATTAATGGTTATCTTTCCTATTTTATCAAGTAGATATTCTCCCAAAGATCAGGGCCGGCTCCAGCTTTTTTGCCGCCCCAAGTGGTGAAGGAAAAAACAAAAAAACCAAGCCTGGTTGAGCTGCCGCCGAAGAGGAAGAGAGAGACTGCAGGGCCTGCCGCCGAATTGCCGCCAAAGACCTGGATGTGCCGCCCCGATGACGGAAGGAGTGCTGCCCCTTTCTATAGGCCGCCCCAGGCACCTGCTTCCTTCGCTGGTGCCTGGAGCCGGCCCTGCCAAGGATTCAGTCTTTGACGGAACTGCTGGTTTTCAGACAAAACCAGGATCCAAATTTTCATGAATATCCCTACACTCTTCCAGTGGTTTCCTCAGTACATGGATTCCAAGATGGCTTTTTGCTTGTCCTTATGCAGTACTGAAGTGTAGTACTTGATAGTATTTAAGTAAGCCAATATAAGCAATACAAGGAAGAAGTTTATAAGGGAGGGGTATACAGCTTCCAAAAAGAACATTGGATCTAATTCTTAGCCTGTGCGCTGTATCCAAAGAACAAACATTAAAAATGTGGTGTGATGTTATTGACATAAACTGTGACTGTATAGATCGCTGTTGCAACCAAGGTCCTATAGTTGCATCAAATCTTGTACAAAGGAGGTCAAATAAGGTGTCTATGAAAAGGTTGTAATTTGCTGGTTATGATTATGCTGTCTGTATGTGTGTATCATTTTTGTATTTGAAGTTATGAATATTGGCTATGTACTTGTATCTCAATGTGTTTGATTCTAAGTAGCATCAGTGAAGCATTTGGTCAGCTTCTTGAGAAAGGACTATTCTGAGTAAGTGCCCAGTCAAGAAACATTTGAATGACAATGGACCTTGGGAGACTCCAATCCACATCTGAGGAGCCTTCCTGAGACCGTTCAAGGTAGCATGTGAGCAATGGCTGCTGCCTGCAAACTGAGTCATGCTTGGACATGTGACTTGCCCATGTGACTCCAAACTCCATCTTGCTGCTGTGATTTTCCACAGTAAGAACAAAGGGGTCCTTCCACATGGCAGAGGATATAAAAGGCCCTGGAAACCCCTCCATTTTGTCTTCAGTCCTGCTTCTGAGCTCTGGATGAACTATGCTTGAAACTAAAGCTCTGAACAAAGGATTGAACAACCCATCCAAACTGGGATGTTTGTACTCCAGAGACTTGATTGGTTTAAATCAGCAGTAATCCCATCAAGCCTGAAGCAAGCCTGAACTAAGAACTTTGCAATTGTTGTATGTATTTGATTCCATTTAACCAATTCTAACTCTCTTCTATATTTATTTCTTTTTATGAATCAACCTTTAGATTTTAGATTCTAAAGGATTGGCAATGGCGTGATTTGTGGGTAAGATCTAACTGGTATATTGATCTGGGTCTGGGGCTTGGTCCTTTGAGATCAGGAGAACCTCTTTTTATCTTACAGGGGTATTGGTTTTCATAACCATTCATCCCCATAAGGAGCAGTGCTGGTGGTGATACTGGGAAACTGGAGTGTCTAAGGGAATTGCTCGTATGACTTCTGGTTAGCCAGTGGGGTAAAACTGAAGTCCTCTCCATTTGGCTGGTTTGGTGTGCCTTATTAGTAAAGGACCCCTGACCTTGGGCTGTAACTGCCCTGCTCTAAGCAATTTGTCCTGAATTGGTACTCTCAGTAGTGTCACACCAAAGGCCGCTTTATTACATGCAGCTAACATAAATTAGGAGAAATCTTAAAGGAAAAAAAACTCTAACAGGTGAGAGAATTTGGGCTTGTGAAGTGGGATTTCTCCTCCTCTCTAGAGACTGAAACCAAGCAACATGGACTGAGGATGCTTTGCATATGCCCAAAACGGAATTATCCTTGGACATGCAGCAGAGACTGCCTGTAGGGAGCCAGGGTGGCTTCCCTCTGAACCAGAAGGTAAAGAGCCACCCTCTCAACCTGAGTGGGCAGGGCCAGACCAAGTTTATGCCAATCCCCGGAAGGGGAGGGATGGGACAGGAAGTACAAAGGGCAGGGCCCTTTGCCCAGTGGGGAGCGCACCAGGGAGGGAGACAGAGACAGGCTGCTGGCTGCTCCCTTGCGATCCTGCTGCCGACCCAGGGGAGGCCCTGGGCCAGGAGGAACCTGACCGGGAAGGAGGCCTGTGGCCAGCCACTGTGTACCTGGAGGGCCTGGAGGGGCCCGGCTGTAACCCAGGCCAGCGTGAGTCCGACACAGAGGGGGAGCTGGAGCTGCCAGTGGCAGAATACCTGGACAAGCTGGAGGGACCGGAGAGACCCGCTGGAGAGACCGGGTAGGAAGTAGCCTAGGGGCAGAACTGCACTGTGGGGTGGGTGCGTTTGGTCAGTGGGCGCAGATGGCCCCCCGCTGACTGAGCAGCAGGACCTTCGCCTTCTGCCACTGTCAGGGCCCTGGGCTGGAACGCAGTGGAGTTGGGTGGGCCTGCGTTCCCCTACCCCGGCCAACCTGCCTTGTGTAGCAGAACTGTGCATGACAAACCCGTGCCGGCGCTCCCCTGCCTGAGGGGTGCGCTGCAGACTTGTGCCGGCGCTCCCCTGCCTGAGGGGCGCGCTGCAGACTTCGGCCAGCACACCTTTCCCGCTAATTCCCCAGTGCCCGAAAGGCATGACTAAGGCCCGCCACTGGGACCGTCGCTCTCCATCGCCCCCTAGGAGCTCGGAGGACCGATTGAAACCTGTCACAAGTGGTGGAGAATGCGGGCAGGCGATCCCTATTCTTGCAGAAAGGGGTTAGCGCGAGGGGGCCTCTGAAACTCCCCTACTGGAAAGAAGGAGATGGAAAGGCTTATCAAGTTCCTGGCTGAGAGCCAGCAATAGCAGCAGCACCAACTCATACAGCAGCTGGGGGCCCAGCAGCAGCAGTTGCTTCAAACCCTGGGGGCCCAGCACCATGAACACCAAACCCAATGCTTCCAGCAGCTTGCAACCCTGTGGCCGGGCCATGGTGGGGGCAACCGGAGAGGGCAGCCACCCTGCCCCCTCCCGCCCCATTGATCCTGGCCAAGATGGGGCCTGAGGATGACCCAGAGGCCTATCTGGTTGGGCACCTGACCAATGGGCGACCCTCCTCACCCCATATCTGACGGGGCCGGCCCAGAAGGCTTACCGTGGGCTCCTAGATGATGAGGCCCGCATTTACGCTCGAGTGAAAACAGCTATCTTGGATGCCTTTGACATTACCCCGGAGACTTTTCGGCGACGGTTTCGGGAAAAGGTCTACCCACCGGGCACCAGACCCCGGGCTGTGGCCCAGGAACTGAAGGACGCAGGTACCCGATGGCTCTAACCCGAGCGTCGAACCGCAGCTGAGGTGACTGAACAGGTCATCCTCGAACAATTCGTGCACATCCTCCCACCCCAGGGGAGGGCTTGGGTGTTGCGGCACTGGCCACAAAGTCTGAGCACAGCCGTCGCACTTATGGAGGACTTTCTCGAGGCAGAGGCCCCAATAGGACCGGCCGCCTGCCCCCCAAACCCTGGACCCAATGCACAGAAACTTGAAAGGAGGGGGCCCACCTCCCAAACCAACGCACCCCACCGTACCCGACGACCAGATGGCAGCAGGACCGAGATTTCCCGACGCCCCGAGTCCTCACCACGCTTCAGCCCTGGACGCTTAACCCAACCACCGGGCCCCAGCCAACTCTGCAGCCCCACTGGTGCCCCCACACGGCTGGTGCGCCCAGAGGTAGGACCTTGTTTCCGATGTGGCGAGTATGGTCATCTGCAATGGGGCTGTCCTGCGATGGACTGCAACTTTGGTCTGGTGTGCACCGGGGAGTGGCGGGCCTGTCCGCCCTCCGTGGCCAAACTGACAGCTCCCATGGAAGTCGCCGGGGTCCCAGTGGTGGGTCTAGTTGACTCGGGCTGTGGGCAGACCCTTGTCCGCCAGGCACTCTTCTTGGACACCAAGCAAACCATTGGGGAAGTACGGATTCAGTGCATCCACGGAGACATAAAATCGTACCCCACGGTTCGGGTCCCCATCACGGTGAACAGAGCAACTCGGTTAATGAATGTGGCGGTGGCATCATCCCTCACCTATCCAGTGATCCTGGGCCACGACTGGCCAGACTTCGTCTAGGTGCTCCAATCCCTACCCACCAAAGAGGCGCTCGAGGGAGCCCCGCCTGAGAGGAAGACAGGACCTGACTTGAGCTCTGACCCTGGAGCTGACCCAGGTCCCACCCCCGCACCGGATGGCCTGGAAATGGCTGGTCCCCCTCCTGACCTGGTGGACTTTAGCTGGGATCAAAGGGAGGACCCTACACTCTGGTTTGCCTATGAGCAGCTGGCCTGGGTGGATGGTGACGTCGTGGAGGCGCGGCGCACCACCCAATGGCCCGGGTTTGAACTCAACCACGAGCGGCTCTACCGCCTTGACCGAGACCCCCAGACCCAAGAGATCTGGACCCAACTCGTGGTCCCCCGTATTCATTGTCGGGCTGTCCTGAAGCTTGCACATGACATCCTGGCTGCTGGCCATTTAGGGCAGGAAAAAACTGTGGCTAGGGTCCTGGCCAGGTTCTTCTGGCCCGGCGTCCACCGTGAGGTGAAGGATTACTGTGCGTCATGCCCGGACTGCCAAAACTTGCAGCCCGAGCAGGGGTACAGAAGGCCCCCTGGTCCCTTTACCAGTCATAGGTGTACCGTTTGAGCAGGTAGCCATGGACCTGGTCGGGCCTTTTCCAAAAAGTAAGGCAGGCCATCAATACATCCTCGTCCTGATGGACTTCGCCACCCGCTTCCCCGAGGCCGTCCCCTTAAGAAGTATCACCACCTGCACTATCACTGCGGAGCTCTTGAAGATCTTCGCAAGTCAGATTCCCACGGGAGATACTCACTGATCAGGGGACCAACTTCACGTCTAAGCTGTTCCGTCACGTATGTGCCCTATTGGGGATTAAGAAATTGCAGACCTCGGTCTACCATCCCCAGACTGACAGATTGGTCGAACGGTTTAACCGGACCCTGAAGGGAATGTTGCAGCGTTTCCATACCCAGGACCTCCGCCAGTGGGACCAGCTGCTCCCTCCTTTACTACTGGCAATTCGAGAAGTCCCACAGGTGTCCATGAAGTTCTCCCCGTTCGAGCTCCTCTATTCACGGCAACCCTGCAGGGTGTTGGACCTCTTGAGGGAGACTTTGGAACACAACCCGTCTGCAACACAGGGTCTCTTGCAATACGTCTTACAACTGCAGGGGCAGCTGGCACGGGTGGGTGAGCTCGTGAGGGAGAACTTAAACACAGCCCAAAGAGCCCAGGAGCAGCACTACAATCGGGGTGCCCAGGCTCGATCATTTGGGCCAGGGGACCAAGTGCTCCTCCTGCTCCCCTCGGAGGAATCAAAGCTTTTTGCCCGCTGGCAGGGTCCGTATGAGGTCCTCCGCCAGGTAGGGCCTGTCACCTACGAAATTCGGCAACCTGGTCGCCATAAGGAAAAACAGATTTACCATGTAAACCTTTTAAAACCCTGGCAGGACTGGGAAGGGCTCCTAGTTGCCCCATATCCCCCCAAACCAGACCTGGGGCCCCAACTGCCCGAGGAGTCGGATAATGGTGAGCCCCAGCTAGCAGAGACTCACAGTCGAGCAGCAAGAACAGGCACTCTGCTTAGTAAGGGCATTCCCCAAGACATTCACCATGAAACCCGGGCGGACTATGCTCACCTACCATGTGATCCAGACGGAACCCGGGGTGGTGGTCTGAGAGACAACCCGGCCATTGCCTAGACGAATGTGGGAGGCCGTAGGGGAGGAAGTCC